GTAACAAGTCTATTGGTAGGATTATCCACAACCACCGGAGTTTTGCGAAGTTTTCCGATATTGATTGTTCATGTTCCAATGTGAGGACCTTTCCACGAAATGACGACGACCACATTTCTTTCAAATTCTTTGACSTACAAGGACTCTCTGAACCCCTCCTCAATTCCAACAATATTTGTATCCCTCCGCATGATRTCTCTATTGGTCACATTTGTGGTGCTATCGAAGCTAGCTTGAGTTGTTTGACGACGAATGTATCCTATCGTCTACCTACCAGAGTCATTTCTGATTGTTTCCTTTCATCTGCCCACCTCTTMTTCCACCGGCTTTCATCCTCCGATYAGGAGTGGCTTCGCACTTTGGAAAATTTGGTYACAATGCCCATCGATCATAACATAGGGGATACGTACGTATGCTGTCCAGTTATTTACATCAGCGCTATGAGAAGTTTATTCATCAACAATCCTGGGTTTGTTATTGATGATCGGATGGAGTCTGTTATCCTGTCAATATGCAAGGAGAAGTTCGTCAAGCACCAGTTTCACAGGATTGCCACTTGGAATATCAAASGTCGATTCGGTTGCTCCTACKTTATCCCGAAGCATAAAGACATCGGAAGGTGGAGACCTATTTCGCCGTCATAATCTGAACCCAATGTCCATACGAGTCGCATGGTGGGTCGTGCAATTAACACTTTGTTGTGGGCCCTCCCTTCCTCCCTCCACTTCAACCTCAAATCCACCGCTATGCTAAAAGATAGGGTGTCAGCTATAAATGAGGCTGCACGAAGAAACTCGGATGRCTTCCTGCTTTCTGCTACCTTTGATATTAAGGAAATGTTTACTAAGCTTCCTCACTCTTCTATTATCCTAGCTGTGGCATGGATTTCCCATTTCTTTCGTGATAAAGGCATCAAAGGTGTATCTGTCAGCAAGTCAAGCAGGGATTCCTCTCTTACCAAGAAATCGTGTGGGAAGGGCTGGGTTAAAATTAATTTTCCTCAGATGTTGRATATTGTAACCTTCGATTTGGAAAACACGTACACCAAAGYTGGGTCGATTATTTTGAAACAGACCATTGGTGTCCCTATGGGCAAAAGTTATAGTCCGGCACTGGCATGTGTTCTCTGCACATACAATGAGTTCAATTTCATCAAATCGTTGGGGTCGGATAGTAAGTTTCTCTCTGGTATCCGCCTAATTGATGATGTCGGTATCTTCATGACATTTCCCCACAAGGCCCACTGATTTGYTTAGAAGGCCTTTGCCATCTATGACAGATTCATTCRAACATACGACGTTGCTTTGTCTCTCATCCGCACTGATGACAGGTCGGGCGTGTGGGATTTTTTGGGTTGCTCGGTGTCATCTTCCGCCTTCCCCCCTTCTTTCAGATGTATCGCTACCATGAAGAATCARAACTTCATTTTTTCCTCCAAACYCCTCARGTTTGTTTCCACCCAAGATTTCCTCTCGTACGGACCAAGACAGCAGAAGAAAGGATCGGTTTTTGGCCACCTCAGTCGACTGTTGGCCCACTCCTCCGAAGACAGAGGAGTGGGCCCTAATTTGCTTGTTTTGAGAAGGGAACTACGATTAAAGAAATTCCCCCTTGGATCGTTTTCCAAATATTTRGGTAAGTTCTCACGAAATCGAGGGGGGGTCTGGAACCAGTGGGTCTCGATCCTTTCCCTTTTGGACTCGTAATTTCGCAGTTTTACCGGCCCCCATGACAAGGCAATTTCGGGCTTGACCGGTGAGGTTCGGGCCTCCGGCACTCGATGGTACCAGAGGACCCATACCCCTGGGAGCGGAAGGATGATCGACTTCTCATAGTATTTATTGCTTTATTTCACCTCCCCGGTCCTCTCATTTTTGAACGGACTCAGCATCTGGTTCTGCGCGCCGTGGCTGCACTCCTTTCTTTAGTACGGGGCCGTATCATCTCAGAACGGTTCCTACTCTGTCTACTTCTGCTCCAAGGATCTTYGTGAAGGCACTTCAGTCACGACGAGCTCAGGCGCATGMTTCGTCTTTAGGAGGATTGCCTCCTYGGTGTTCGGTTCATTCCGCATYTTCYTCTACTCCAGCGCGGRAAGTTCTYGCTTCKATCTCCTGCTCACGTCTAACCTAAGCCCTCCTTATTCCCTTCTGTTTCCTGCCTTCCCGCCTCTTCCACTTTCTACTTTTACCTCWGGGTTTCTGATCCTACCTCCCTTYATTTRACATGACGGTTTTCGGGGCTCCTTGGTTATGGYTGCGCTACCCTCCTCYGTGTTGCTCCTTTCTCGTCTTAGCTCTGTTCTTTCGTTGGTCTTTCCTGCCTCCTATCTACTCTTCTCCTCACTATCTTAATTCAGGTTCTGACGCGACGGTTTTCAGGGCTTGTTTGGTCATGGCTGCTTTACCCTTTTCTGGGTCGCTCCCTCCTCCTCTMGGCTTCGACTATTCTTTGGTCTTTCACGCCTCTTTCCTGAAATGTCCCCAGTTCCGATTAGATCTCTGTTCTCCGTGTATGCTATGTGAAGTACGGAGTAGGACCTTTTGGTGAGATAGCTGGCCCACGACTCTCTTCTTTCGTATAAATACCCACTTGGAGGTGTCATGTTACGCGTTCTCATCCCCTGATGATGCTACCTCTGGCGGGGTAGCTGAAACGATCGTAGGGATTTCCGCCAGTTCGGCACGATTTTTGTCTTC